TGATTTTTCATTCATTCATATTCATCGTATCGTTCTTGTGTGTACCAATTCGTACGTTGGTGGTCGTTTTTCTTTGTTGTTTATTTCATAATTAAGATTATTATTATTTTTTGATTTGCAAAGATTCTCTTTGCCTTTCATTACTCACCTTTACCAAACTCTTAATCATACTTTAGTCATCACAATTCACAAACGCCATGCACGCATATATGACATGTTATTAGTTATTACAACGATTACGGCTGCTCATGATGACTTTAGTTACAATTGATCTTGATAAATTTAAAATAATATAATTTTTTTTAGTATTTTAAACGGAGTTTGAATTAATTAATTTAGATTAAACGGAGTTTGAATTAATTAATTTAGAATGACGAATAAGTGTTAAAATGACACACCAAAGTGTTAAATTGTAGAATTTATGCACCTTAAGTTCAAAACGTGAGTAGTTCTAGATGTGACTACTCCGAATGTTACCTTTCGAAAGGTACCGGGAAGGTTACGATGGTCGCACCTTAAGTGATAAAATGACACACCTTAAGTGTGAACTTATGTACCTTAAGTGTAGAACTGACACACACCTTAAATAAGAGGAGAGTCATTGATCTTGCCAAAATCAACGTCCAAGATTAACAAAAAAATTTTAAAAAATGAGGTGGTAATTTGGTAATTTTTGCATCTAGGTCAAATTTAAGGTGTGTGGTTTTTGCGCTTAAGATGTGTGGTCTGTGTGCTTAAGGTGCGTGGTTTGTATGCTTAATGTGAGTAGTTGTTGAAACTTAAGGTGCATGGTTTTTGTGTGCTTAAGGTGCATGATTTTTGTGTGCTTAAGGTGCGTGGTTTGTGTGCTTAATGTAAATAATTGTTGAAACTTAAGGTGCGTAGTTGTTGTGCTTAAGGTGCGTGGTTTTTGTGCTTAAGGTGTGTGGGTTGTTGAAACTTAAGGTGCGCCATTTTAAAACCATAGGTGCGTGGTTTGTGTTCTTAAGGTGCATGGTTTGTGTACTTAAGGTACGTGATTTATGTACTTAAGGTGCGTGATTTGTGTACTTAAGGTGCGTGATTTGTGTACTTAAGGTGTGCCATTTGCATGCTTAAGGTTAAGTTGTTTAGTTGCTTCCAGAGGCGTTTTTTTTTTTTTTTTTTTTTTTTGACCCGTTTATATAGATTTGATCAACGGCTCAGATTAACCCCCCCCCCCCCCCCCACCACACACACATAAACTGTAACCACAAAAATCAAAATTGTTTTACGTGTGTATCTTTAAAATGCAAGTACAAAATCTCTGTGTAGTCCTATGATTTTTCGGTAAACACTTCAAAGGCTTTGCGTTTTGCTGAAAGACCTCCGTAATTCAAGTGGTGTAAGGGCCTCCAGGTTTCAAACGACTTGATCTTCAGCTAGAGATGTTAACTTCAAAATTAATGTCAAGAGAGAACTCTGCAGAGCTTCAATGTCTTCAAGGTGTGTCTTCAACTCTTCAAGTGTCTTCAATGTGTGTTTTAAAAAAATAGAAGGAAGGCTCTATTTATAGTGGGGAATATAACGTCCATCCCTCAACAAACTTCCTTTAATATTTATTCAAATAATTAATTAATTATTAAGATAAATACTAATAATTTTATCCAAAATGAACCTTGCCATAATCATGTCTAGGTTCAAGATCATATCACTACATTTGAATTTAATTAAATTATAATATCTTAAATAATATAATTTGACTAAATCTATACCAAATAATTAAATTAACTTGACAAATAACAGCTGAATTAATTTAACTAATTGATGCACATACTTAAATAACTTGATTTAAATGCGATCCAATATGATTAGCCAGCTTAATTATCTCAAAATTTCTCTGTCTTCATACACTTTCCTCGGTTTGTTTTCATCGTTTTTTTACCACACATAGATACAACCAATGCAAGACAGACAAGTGTCCGTTGAATCTTCAATTTCTGTGTTGGGAAAGAAGACCAAACATACACTAGAAACACGTACGTCAATGGTATTTTCTAGCTTCTTTCAACTTTAGATGCGTTACGTTTCTGCAAAAGTTGAAAATGCCTCTCCAGCTTCTTGGATACCATACATTTCAAACCAAAAATAGTGGGAAAAAGGGGGGTAAAAAGACAAGGGTATTTTTTTGTTTGGCAAAATAACTATTTTTTGTCATACCTCGAGGTGGCCTAAGCATGTCATAACGGTAAGAGACACCTTTAAACTCGTACCATATTCAAACTAATTCTTGTTCGCACCGGACCAACCCAATTAAAGGATAAATTAAAGTGATGACCAGATTGACAAATTAGCTCTTTACTTTTAGCTGATTGTATGCAGAAAGTCATATAAGAGCATAAACATATCGTGCTAATTTATTACCTCTTCAATTACATTTATAATATTTATTATTGACATCAAAAAGAAAAATTATTATTGTTGTTACGGAAATAAAAAGAAAAAGGGGCAAAACAGATAAACAACAAAGACATATAAATGTTATGGATGTCAAGGGTAAAATGATCATTTCATAATTAAGGTCAATAAGCTAACCAAAAACTCTACTCTTCTTATCATTTCAAATTTTGGCTTATTGCCTCAACAAAACTACTGTAATAAGTCATTTTACCACACATTTAAATAGCCTATTGACCAGTAAAACCAACTAAACTTAGTTAAACCAACCAAAATTTACTTATCAGCTATGTTACCAAACTGGGGTTAAAGACTTGATTGAGATTCTAAAACAGTTGACAAAAAAGTTATATGTAATATTGTTTACATAAAATATTCTGGGGGTGTTTGATAAATATATGTTAGCTGATAACTATTAGTTGATTGAGTTAGTGAGTTTGATTAGTTAATTGTAGAAAGATGTTTGGTAAATTAGTTGTTAGTTGATAGCTGATTACATGCAAAATGATTTTCTCAAAAAATTGATTGAAAAAAGATGTTTTGAGAAGTAGAAACGAATGCACTCCAAGTAGTAAATGGTCTCAATTCCTCTTGTTTCGATTATGATTTTAATATGGTACTTTTAGATATAAAAGACTTGTATAATCATTTTTCTGAAGTATTTGTCTCGTTTGTTAAACGATCTGCGAACCAAAATACCCACTCATTTGCTAAAGAATTTATGTAAATGACTCATTGCATGTATTTATTTTATAACCCTCATAGTTTCATGTAAAGCTATGGCGTCGGATACCTATTAATGAAAGCTTATATATTTATCTTTTAAAAAAATAGTAGAAATTGTTGCCGTAATTGGAGAATAAGATGGCAAATTATACCGTGCACCAGGGCGCACAATACATTGTGCGTTCTGGTCCAAAAATAATGTCGTTTTATATATTTTTTTAATTATGTTTTTCATTTCTGTCGTTAATTTCTATAAAAAAAATACCACGGTTTATATGTACAGAATTGTATAATAGAATACACATAAACTCTTAACATAATACACATAAATATAAATGTTTTAAAAAAATTGTAACGAGATTAGATGGACGGAACGGTGTCTGTCACGTCAACTCCCCACCAACTTATAGAAACAACGTCGTTTTGGACCAGGACACACAATGCATTATGCGCCCTGGTGCACGATATAACAATCGGAATAAGATAATGGTCATCGAATAACAATTTGGACCCATCGCAAAAGCCCAAAATACTGTGGGCCCATTGGTCCGGGCTCTTTTCTGAAAGTTTATAGGCGTATTTGGTTTATTATAATTTTAGTAATTTAGGATTGATATTTTTTTGTTATCATTCTCATTTCTCAAGACTCTCATATAGGTTACTAATTATAAACATGTGTAATGCGTTATAAAATAATTCATGAATAAAAAAATTGTGAAATTATATTTTCTTTTTAGTACTATTGACTCTATTACAATTATATAAAAGTAGAAAAGAATGTCATCCGTGGTAGTCTTTTATAACTTGAAAGCTTTAATTTCACATGGCAATACGAATAGATTTTAAAATTGAAAAAAGAATTCCATGTCATCTTGCCAATGTCTTCATTGCAGGAATAAAAACAACCTAAAGAGGGATAAGAAGCCCTTTCCATTGGCCAATCATGACTGGCCAGTGGCCACTATAATTTTTTTTTTTTTTTTTTTTTTTTTTTTATGGAATATTTTGAAGGAGAGGTTTCTCTTTAAGGTTGTAACAACTTTGAGGTCCCTAAGTCTTTGATCTATCCTTGAGTTTAATTAGAGAGATAAATAGATTTCAATAGAATTTAAATGTTAATGTAACTGTGGTTTATAAAGGAGCCTACTATTTAAGTTCGGGTTTGAACTCCTCATTCTATATTACCATTAGACTATGTTTTGAAAATAATTTTTTCAGATTTGTTTGTACATGATAAATTTGATTCACAAAAGGAATAAAATAGAGAAAATTGGCTTGAGTTGGAAAACCTTATTTGTTTAGCATAATAAAACTAAACATTGGAGAGTGAAGATAGTATGCATCATTATATGAATAAAGAAAATTTGGGATTTCTTAGCTAGTGTTTATAGATCAACTCTTGTGAATAGAGTAATAGATCTTTTTATTTGTCCTTTGGTCTTTAAAAATAATTCTATTTTAAATTCCTTAGAGTTTAGTAAAATGGATAATTGTCAAATAAGTCTTCAAAATAGATTAGTTAGAATAGTGCAATTGAGGTTTTTTTTAAAAAAAAAAATAAAAAAAAAACTCCATTCAAATTTCAAACTCTAAAAGTTGATAAAAAAAAGTGCAATTGACTCATTTAGTAATTTTTATTATTTTTTTTTTGAAAACAAAAAAGAAGGGCTATATATTAATACAAAAGAAGAAGAAACAAAGTCATGAGGAACTGAGTCCCAAACCATAAAGCTAGCCTGAGAGTAGGCAATAGAAACTAAATTATGAAAAACTAAATTTGTAGTAGTAAATGATTAGGCATGATTCCACGCATATTTTATAAAGAGTCGTTGGTGTTTATTTGATATTTGATAAGGGTCAAGAGGAAGTCAAACGCCCCGTTAAGCAAAGAGGAAGTCAAGACTTGGGAAACCAGAAGGAAATTAGGAAGGAGACCAACAATGGTGACAGGCGAAAGCTACGCCATGCTGTGCTTTTGGAGCTCCGACCTCTTTCATTTATGGCGGTCTTACTCTTACGGGATAAAGATTCATCCTCCTGAAAACCTGCTCATTTCTAACCTCTTTTCTCAACACAGGAATCACAGAGGTAAAAGAATCTGGAGTAATTGCAACGGCTGCTGAAGGTTTTTTTTTTTTTTTTTTTTTTTTTTTTTTTTTTTTTTCAATTGAATTTAAAACCGAATATTGTTTTTGCAAGGTGAAGCACGGGACAGCGTCGGAGGTGAGGATTCAGCTCTATGAGAAAGTTTTTGCGTAGCCCGTTTGTTTCCTGGAGTCGACGACCCCATGAGCGTCGCATTGGTAGGCCATTTTTCGTCTGGTTTATCAGTTCCTTTTCATTTTCGAGAGATGAAAACTAATTTAGATTTCCTCTTGATTAATCAAGCATTAGTTGTTGATGCTACTGAGTTTTGTTCTGTCTAGTCATATATGACTTTTGGCTATATTTTTTCTGTACTTTTGTGTAACTTGCACGTTTTCACCTCTGTAGTTCTCAAGTTCTTTATGCTTCAATTTTGGTAATATTATCTTCACTGAGTTTCATTGCTCTTCGTCAGTAACAGGTGGGGTAGAGATTTCTCTGTTAAACAGCCTTTTCCTTTTATCGTCACTGGAAAACTTAAATTCTGAACTGGTTCGTAAGTATTATCGGGAGGCTGAAGATGTACTGAAGATTTTAAAGCCAATTCTCAATGGCATTGTTCATACTCAAATTGCTTCTGATAGGCTGCTTCAAAATGTGTTTTCCGAATTGGGTCGTGCAATTGATGAGCTGATTGAGCTATTTGAAACCTGGCAACCGTGGAGCAGCAAAATTTATTTTGTGCGTCTTTGGATCTTTGCTTTCCATTTATGATTTGTGAATCTGTTTATAAGCTGTTTTTTTACTTCCTCTCTTCAGCAGGCCAGCAGCAAATTAAATATATACGGATTTTTAAAAAATTAACCTACTAGACTAATTCAAAGAGATCTTTCTATCTGGTGTTTAAAACTGTAAAATATTATATTTTGAAACTCTCTTTAACTGTTTTCATGTGGTTAAACTTTTTGATTGATGTTAATCCTTCTGAATTTAGGCAATTACCACTTCACTTTTTTATGATTTTATCTAGTTGATGTTTGGTCAAGCAGGTCCTGCAAGTTGAATCTCTGATTGCAAAAGTTCAAAGTTGCAGCCTGAAAATTCTTCAGCTACTCATATCTTCTTATAGGTGCCTCCCAGGTGAATCAAGTTTAAGGTTGCTTGAGGTAGGATATCTGGAAAGCAAAATTTTGTTTTTGTTTTTGTTTAATTTTTATTTACAACTTTGGTTTTGAACTGTTCATGTGCATGTCTTGTATTTGGTTTGTAGCACTATGTGCTGGAAATCAAGTCTATTGATTATGAACTCTTATCAACAACCATCTCTGAGACTATAAAGGATCAAGTGGAAAGTTCTGGGGTGAGCTCAGATAGCCTGGAGAAAATTGCTGATCGCCTGTGCTTAAAGTCAAACCAGGATCTTCTTATGGAGATATTAGCCCTTGAAAAATTGAAGGAAAATTCTGAACAAGATGAAAAGAGTGAAGAAGTTGAACACATTGAACAGATTATTGTTCTTGTTACTCATATGCATGTGGCCCTTGTTATGATTAAACAGTCTGAGAATTCTACCTCTGTCTCAATACCGGCAGATTTCTGCTGTCCTCTCTCACTTGAATTAATGAGGGACCCTGTAACTGTAGCATCTGGACAGACATATGAGTGGGCCTGCATTCGAAAATGGATTGATCTTGGCCTCAGAGTTTGCCCTAACACACGACAAACTTTGGCACACACAAATCTTATTCCTAATTGCTCTCTTAAGGCACAGATTACAGATTGGTGTGAAACAAACAGTGTAAAGCTACCCGTTCCAGTGAAGGCTTTGAGCTTGAACCGGCCCTCATTTGTTGTACTGCATGGAGAATCTGGTGCACCCATAGATAATCACATAGTTTCAACTTCATGGGACTGTAACTACGGATCACCTGAATCCCCTTGTTCCTCAAGGAAAGTATCAATATCATCCAGTGCAATTCTAAGAGAGGCAGCATCTCCATCTCAATCTTGTTTGTCTTCAGAGGAATCTTTTTGTGGAGCTGCCATTTATGGACTGAGGTTGGATGTTGAGACAGCGTCTCTTAAGAGTTCTGTAGATGGCCTGCAAAAGTCAGAAGATAGAAGTATAAACTCAGTTAGCTACTATTCTATGCAGCTGTCTATGAATAGTGTGTCATCAACTGTTGAAAGCTTCCTTCGGGGTCATAGTCAAACTGCTTATGCAACACCTGATTCAATTCGCTCTTTAGGTTCCCCTACAAGTTATCCCTCATCTTATGCATCTCAAAGAGAAACATATTCTCAATCTCTTGTCTGCTCATCTTCAGATGCATCTTTGTCCAGAGTTGGTAGTTATGGGTTGGGAGTGGATGTTGAGATGGTGTCTCTTAATGGTTCTGAAGACTGGATGGCGTACTCAAGTTATGGAAGTATGAACTCAATTAACTATTCTATGTGGCTATCCATGAACAATGCGCCATCAGTTGATGGAGGCAGCCATCTCAGCCATAACCGAACTACTTCTGCATCCAGCACAATGTCAAATTTAAAATTGTCTCGTGTGACTAGTGGTGTTGCATCAGGATCTTACGCCGCTTCTACCTTGAGTACTTCAAGGGGAGAGTTTGGGTTCCCATCCCCACTCAAAGAAAGACCTTGTCCTCCCTCTCTCTGGCACAGGCTATTTGAGAGGTTTAATCCAAGAATAGTTTCTTCCACTGTCCCTGAAACAATGGCTGGTCTTTCAGAAGTTGAGAAGGAAGTTAGAAAGCTTGTTGTGGACTTGAAGATGACTTCAATTGATCTGCGGAGAAATGCAGCAGCTGAACTCCAGTTACAAGCCAAGCATAGCATGGAGAACCAGATTATGCTTAGGTTAACTGGTGCTTCAAACCTACTGCATAAAGTGCAGGAAAATGCTGTCTCCGCACTTCTCAAACTATCAAATAATGACAACAACAAGTACACGATTGTGAGTGCTGGTGCAGTTGAGCCACTGATTGATGTTCTTGAGACAGGGAGCCGCGTGGCTAAAAAAAACTCTGCTGCCACACTTTTTACCCTATCAGTTATCGAGGAAAATAAGATCAAGATTGGGAGATCTGGGGTAATAAAAGCTCTAGTTAATTTCCTTGGAAATGGAACTCTTAGGGGCAAGAAAAACGCAGCAAAAGCTTTGTTTAACTTATCAATACTTCATAAGAACAAGGCTCGCATGGTGCAGGCTGGTGCAGTAAAGCACCTCATAAAGTTGATGCAACCTGCTGACAGGATGGTTGATAAAGCGGTTGCTGTTTTGTCTAATCTTGCTACCATTCATGATGGAAGAATATCAATTGATCAGGAAGGAGGGATCCGAGTTCTGGTGAATGTTGTCAAAATTGGATCTGCAAGAAGTAAGGAGTATGCAGCTGCTGCTCTCAATCAATTATGCTTCAACACTACCAGTCTATCAATTGGCATGGATAGCAAGGTCAAGATTGCCAAGCTTGGGGCAATAAAGCCACTTGTAGATTTACTGAAAAATGGAACTCCTAGAGGCAAGAAAGATGCAGCATCAGCTTTGTTTAGCTTGTCGTTAATCGATGAAAACAAAGCTCAAATCCTACATGCAGGTGCTGTAAAGTACCTTATAGAGCTGTTAGACCCTGCTCTTTGGATGGTTGATGATGCAGTTGCTTCTCTGTACAATCTTGCTACCATTCATAAAGGAAGAACTGCAATTGTTGAGGAAGGAGGGATCCCCGTTGTGGTTGAAGTTGTTAACAGCGGAACAGCAAGAGGTAAGGAGAGCGCGGCTGCTACTCTCCTGCTACTATGCACCAACAGTAATAGCCTCCGCAATATAATTCTCCATGAAGGAGCTATCCCTTCATTAGAAGCACTGTTGCAGTCTGGCAACACCAGAGCAAGAGAAAAGGTTTGATACTAACTATATATATAACATGTAGCATCTCTTTCTTTGTTTTGGATTCGAGTTTTTTCCATTCCTGGTCCTTCGACTTTTGTGGCATTTCTACTTATAGTCCTTTACTGTCATTTTCTTTTAACACTTTTAATCCTTCTAATGAGTTTTTTAGCTAAACATCACCCGAAACCAGTACGTGCACAACATTTGTTTGGCTAGAAAAGTTGCCGGAAGGACTAAAAGTGGTCTAGTGTCATTTTCTTTTAACAGTTTTAGTCTTTCTGACGTGTTTTTTTTAGCTAAACATCATCCAAAATCAGTATGTGCACAACATCCGTTTGGCGGTAAAACTTGGCGGAAGGATTAAAAGTGGTAAAAATTTAATGTTGAGGGGCTAATAGTGAAAACAATGATAGTCAAAGACTATAGGTGGAAATGTCACAAAACTTCTTGAACCAAAAGTTTTTAAAAAAATATCTTTTTTGGATTGGGCTAACAACTTTTTTTTTTTTTTTTGGGCTACTTACAGGCTGAGGCAGTTCTTAGTTACCTCAGACAAGATAATGAGGGCAAATTTTAATGTGGACCATGGTCCATGTAATAATGTGGTTCATGAAATAAGTATCAATTTTTTTTTTTTTTTTTTTTTGAGAATAGAATAAGTATCATTCTAATTACATATTCGTTTCATTTGACAATATTTCTTTATTCTTTTGTTTCATTTTTACACACTAGTTTCATTATAGCAACTACATACAACGTGCAACTTTAACTTTTCCGGCCTTTTAATTAGATTTATAACTACGAACACCTTAACTGCAGCGCGAAGACAGCAATCGCTTTTCAGAAATTTGGAGAACCAACGAATTACAAGTAGGAATAACAATATTTAATTAAAACAATGCAACACAGCACTCAGACTTATAATTCAATTAAAGCACTGGTCAGTGTATTATCAGAATAAGTGTATTATGTATAATTGTATATAGCACTGGCAGTATAAAAGTTTACCTAGTATTAATAGTAAAATGATTTATTCATTATATACAAATTTACCTACTTAAATACTTAAGTATACAAAGTTGTTGATTAGATCATTAAATTTTGAACAGCAGCAACAACAATAATTATAATTAAAAGCAGCTGCAACGACAAAGGTGGCTCAGAACGGTTACGTACCAATTTATAACTATCGGTCCACCATTATATTTAAACCCCGAAGTTCCCAAAGCTTCATCCAACTTTCACATTGTTTGTTCTTCAATGGCGGCTCACACTCTAGCTGTGATCATCAACAACCCATTAAACAGCGCAGAATTTCTCCTCCTGAAACAGACCCCACCCCCACTATTCAATGACCCCGACTACGATTCCTTCGTCGATTCCGACCTCTGGGACTTGCCGTCCGCTCAGCTGCTCCCTCTCACATCGCCGTCGGAGTCCAATGTCGTCGTCACTGCCGACGGAAGTTCCTCCCATGATTTCGATTTCAGTAAATTCGACCTCAATTCAGCTCTTGTTCAGGCAATTAAATTACCCAAGACATAGTTTTTACTGCTTTCCTTTAAGCTTGATACAATCCTGTCTTCTTGGAATATGTAAAATTTAAAAATGATTTCAATATTTGATTTATAGGCAGCAAATATATTGTATTGGGTACGTCGAAATTAAAAAATCTGAACCCATCAATGGAGTTTTTTTTTTTTTTTTTTTTTCCTTAGTGCTTAATTGGTTAAATTACAAATGATGACAGATTGTTTCATTTCAGTATAAATTTTCCGTTTTGGGATATTTAAAGTAAGTTTTTGCATTACAAGTTTGCATTAAATTACTAATGATGGATGGCAGATGACCCTTTTTTATTTTTATGTGTGTGACAACTTTTTAGAGTTGACAGTTCTAAATGCTGTACACTTTTCATGTGTGTAATTTATAATGGCTGCATAAAATGCTTTATCCTTTCTATCCAGCAAATGGAAAGGGGATGAAATTATACTCATATAAATCACAGATAGAGACACACTTGTAAACTAATAATTTTGAGGATTTGTGTAGGTTCTGGGACAGCTGGGATTTGGGGAGGCCAGTGAGGTAGAATGGAAATTCCACAAGTGTGTGGAAGAGCCTGAATTTGGACCAGGATTGCCTGCAAAAATAGTCTATATTATAGGAACCTTGGGTCTTAAAGATGAGAAATTGAATGGTATTATCTGCTTTTTCTTTAACAACACATTTTCTTTCCCCTTGGTTGTGATAGAGTACGAATTAGCCAATTAGGAAGTTGTAGTGTTTTCTGTATTATTCAGATGCCTTATTTTGCTTTTGAGGATCATAGACACTTTGTTCACCCTTGGAGCTTAACATTATTTTGGCTAAATTGAGTTTTTAAATATTATTTCCTTCAATCCCCATTTTAATTGTCTTGTTTATTGTTTTTTGGCTAGAGATAACAAATTTTCTCAGGTTTTCCAGTTCCTATTATGCATTTCATGTTTTGTCATTTGCAGAACTTTCTAAGTGGATGAGCATTGAAAGGTGCCTTGATAAGCTTATTGATGTAAAGCCTGGTGATGACCGTATAGGATTATTGGTTGCTGTTGGTCTTCTCAACACCTCAGAGCAATCTGGATACTGCAAAATCCCTCAAACTTTGAATTTTCAGGTTTGTCAGGACTCAGGTTCTGCCTGAGTGTTTTCCTGATTACGGGTAATAACTTGTTGATTTTAATTAGATAGGTAGTTTGACCACGATAATCTTAATTCTTAAGAGCATGCCATAGAACCTGTTTTCCTCTCTCCAGTCTGCGTTACTGCCTATTAAACTATTTTTTCTTCTAAAATTTCAGGAATACCCTACTGGTCTTAAACTTGTGCCAATGGGAAGTAGAACTGCAAAGCCTTTTCTCACAACAAATTTAATTGTGCTTGTACCTGAGAAGAATCATGATGTATGCTCTGGTGATAACTTTGCTGCTCATGGAGAAGCACTGATAGTAGATCCAGGTTGCAAGTCAGCTTTCTACGAAGAGGTATCATATTAAATTGAAGTTCTGTATACTTCTTTTAATTGTTATCAACTTCAGGTCACAGTGGGGATGCCAATGTATCAATTGCTTTACCTTTTTTCACTTTGTTTGAATTTATGTCCTGATAGACTTAAATGTGCACCCACAATTAGTAAATGATTGAAATATTCCATGTGCAAATCTACAAACAGATTTTGTCCTTTTTTTGTTTCTGAATAAATGTATCGTCAAAGAATAAAATTAGACCTAACCAAATTAGTTCTCAGTATTTCAACAATATTGCCCAGAGCCCTGCGTAAGCAATATGAAATGTCTTCATTTGGTAAAACTAAATTATGATTAAATGTGAGATGATAGCATGTATGGAGTATTTTATAAGACCAAAGTATGATAGTAGTCATCTTTTCGGACAGAAGTTATCCTAATGTTTAGAGTTACCTGTGTGTATCTATAATAAGGCAGGGCATGGGCATTTGAGGATAAGGTGATATATCTAGGTGACAAATGTTAATATTATCAAACTACTAACTAAAGGAATTCCTTCAGGTTTTAGATTGTTTAGTTGTTATTAGTGCTTTTCTTCCCCAGTTCCTCCATATTTGTTTCCACATTCTGAGAACCTGCAACTATAGTTTGGATTTGGTAATTTATTGTTGTGAAACATCATGAAAATCTCTCAAAAAACTGTAGGAATGAGGAATAACGTTAATGCATCAAATTTAAAGTTTAATTTTGACCATCTGCATTGTACAGTAAAAGGTAGTAGGAGAAATGAGTATTTTATAGAAAAGGTTTTAGATGGGAATAATGGGATATAGACATATAATAGTGTTTTGGCTTGTATTTCCTCTTTAACTAAGCTCAAGAATTTAACTGGCTATTACTAATTGTCTCAAAATTGGCAAATGGGTGCCTATCTATTCTGACTAATTTCTTTTCTCTCCATTTCCATTGTGCTAAATGGTGATGCTGGGATGATTAGCTGAGGGAGATAATTTCTGCTTTGCCCAGAAAGTTAGTCGTCTTTGTAACCCATCATCATCATGATCATGTTGATGGTAAGGAAGTCTGAGGTGCATTTTGCCAAAACAATAGAAATGTTTATTTACTTACATCTATTTGTTTCCAGTTTACTTTTTGAGTGGTAGTTAACTAATATTGGGATCATGTTCATTGATTAACATCCCAATGCATACATTAAAGACGAAATAAATGTTTCACATAAATGTAAATAGCTACTTTCTTTCACTTTTTTTTTTTTTTTTTTTTTTTTTTTTTTTTTTTTTTTTTTTACATGTTTTAGGGTACCAAAATTCCCATGGTTATTAGATGTTATATATCACACAGAATTCAAAACCAGTCTTTGTTTGGTTTCTATGGATGCCGTTTTACCCTAAAAGAGGGTGACAACATTTTTCAAATGAAGATTTTGTTTTTCATTTTTCGTGTGAAAGTGTTAATATAGTGTCTTTTCCTTGGACTGGTATGCTTTTGTGCTCTTCATTTGCCTGCCAAGTGACATGATTTGGTACACTTTGTCTACATTCTCCACCAGGTCTTTCAGTAGTCCAGAAATGCAACCCTGATGCTACTCTTTTAGCTCATGAGAATACCATGTGCCAAATTGGAAAAGGTTAGGTCATTTTTCCAATGGTCTGCTGTATCTTATTTTGCGAGTGCATCAAGTTGATGAGAAGTTTTGCAAGTACCTAAAGAAATTTCCATATGGTGCAGGTGATTGGTCTCTTGATTATGTTTCAGTTTCTGGATCTGAGGAAGTTTGCATCGGTGGTCAGCGATTGAGAATCATCTCAGCACCGGTATTCTGAGATCAAATACTAATTTCCTTAAACAGGATTTCTTATTTTTTGCTCAAACTTATTGGCAGGATTTACAAGTGTGATAACCTTTAGAATGCTGCTATTGCAAAGAAGTAACCATTGATGGATGGAGTTGATTTAATCTTTACATAAAAATTTATCCAAAAAGTTAAAATTCATAGCATAATCTAACAGGAATTCATCTACATGTTCAAACCATCTGTTGCCTCCCTGAAGGAAATACTCTATTCATATCATTGATCCTTATAATGAATATTTGCGTTTCTGTCTCAAGTTCCCTTAGGTCTGGCAGGAAAAGTTCTTTCAAATGTGAAACTCATTTAAATTCATTCTAAAATGCATTAGACATCTTCCCAAGCAAAAGATCTTCTACCATTTTTTCCTTTCTTCTTCTTTCTCTCTTTCTTTCTGTCATTTCTTTGACATTTTATGTATGTCTGTGTTGGGGGAGGGGAAGTGATCATGATGATACTGTGTTAGCTTGTGATGTAGAGTCAATTATGCAATCCTCATTGCAGATCCTGAAAAGTGTAATTTAGTTCATAGCTGTCTTTGTCGTGACTTGTTAAATCAAGTTCTTTCTATGGCTGTTTTTGTCAAAACTGCCTCTTTCTGCTAAACTTGGATTTTCTTTCTAATTCTGAACCCATCAATGGAGTTAGTTTTTTTTTTTTTTTTTTTTTTTTTCTTGAAACTATTCAAGAAGTGCTCTGCTCCTTTTGTTGAAAGTAATTTCTTATCAGGGGCATACTGATGGGCACTTGGGATTACTTCATGTCAATACCAACTCTTTGATTGTGGGAGATCATTGTGTTGGGTAAGCACTGGTTCTTCCACTCTTTATCAAATAGGCACCGTTCCTCATATGAACATGTGCTTTTGACATAATACAGTCTCTTTTAGGTTGATTTTGGAGGATTTGTTCCATGAAAACTGTGAATTATAATTATAATTAATGATCTTTTTAGTTTGTTCTTATCACCAGATCTAACTCTTATATTTCAGTGTTTTACAAACCAAATTTCAACCATTTTACTAACATTTCCTTGCTCTGTCTTTCCTCACTTGTAATCTGTTCATTTCACTTTTGGTTTTCTCCAAGCGATCTAAATTGATATATTTGCGGGTTTTTTCAGGCAAGGAAGTGCTATTTTAGATATTAATTCTGGTGGAAATATGGGTGTAAGTGAATCATTGCTTTCCATTTATACTCACACATACTATTGAAATAGATAAATGAGCACCTTTTTACGACAGGATTAGATAGGAATCCATATGCAATTATGCATACATATCTAGTTCTGAAATTTGCGTGCTTGATATAGAACTTTTCTTGCTTTGAAGAAATCATATATCTTGAAACTTTGATTTTGCTGCACAGGATTACTTCCAGACAACTTATAAATTTCTGGAGCTTTCACCTCATGCCTTGATTCCCATGCATGGACGAGTTAATATGTGGCCTAAACATATGCTCTGTGGATATCTCAGGTATGAAATCCAGAATGCTTTTGGTATATATATAATTTCATTACAGATTTGCGGAATCAATAGTCGCTTTTGACAGTGTATGCTTCTGAGTTCTGCCTTGTTGAAAGAACCGGGCATGTGAGTTTTGTTTAGTTCCAGAATTTGAGCAAATGAGAGTCGTGCAAATCTTCTTGATTACTGTGGTAATATGTTTAATACAGATGGTTGCGGGATGTATGTATACCTTACTATATATATTTTTGCCTATTAGAAACCGGAGAAACAGAGAGTCGACCATCTTCAAAGCAATTGAGAATGGAGCCAAAACACTGTTCGATGTAGTTGCTTATACGTACCATGATGTCAACCCAAGTTTCTGGATTCATGCTTCGTCCAACGTAAGGCTTCATGTGGATCATCTAGCTCAGCAGGATAAGTTGCCAAAGGTAGCGTTACGCACTTTCCTTTCTATCCTTTAACACTATCGTTAACTGCATTATTCCATTGCTCAACAACTTAGAAAGTATTTCAGAGCCATTTCTTATACCATCTATATTTGTATAGGTCTATATATTTTAGAGCAGTTTTAAAATGTGCCTTGAAGGGTGTCACGGGACAAATGCACCATTTTCCTTCCCTACTGAGCAATTTTTTTGTTTTGTTTTTTTTTAGTGCTACTGACTCTGTTACAATGTAGTATCTGTTCATAACTACTTTCTCAACCTACTAAAGCACAAAGAGTCAATACCGCCTCCACTGAGGCTCGAACCCACAACCTCCCATATGGGAGAGCAACTTGGTGCTACTGGATCACAAGGTCCTTGGCCCCTACTGAGCAATTATTTTTGAATTGGCACAGCCTCACTATAACTCCAACTATACTTTCATAACTGGGATTGGAATGCCTACTTGACGTGACTTCTGTATGTTACATAACGAGTACTAGGACTCCATGCTTGACTACTATTTGTGCAGGGCTTCTCGTTAGAAAATTTCAATCTCAGTTGCGCTGAATTTGCCAGCCAAGTGGCTAGAATGTAAGGGAACATAGGAAAAGCTGCTCTCTAAGACTTGGAACAGAATCAGTATTATTGTAGGTTGGACAGCTTGTATTTTACATCCCTTACAACTTTGCAAATCCTACATATTAACGTCTTACCATTAAATAAACTGATTTGCTGTCTGCAAGAGATCGTTTTTCATAGTAAACTTTTGTTTGTTTGCAGAGGTTTTCCATTTTCTCGGGGCTAACCTGCATCTTTTGCAGGACTTCTCACTTCATAAATTTGGGAAGACTTGTGGATTGCATTTTGTGTTGCGATGGGTACCGGTGTATCTAAGTAGCACACTCTCAATAAAGCCGAGGATGCCAAGAAAACCGTTCTTCTATGGTGCTGCTGTGGCGGTGGCAGCGGCTAGCTTGGCTATGTTCTTGTCTATGAGAGAGCAACACAATCATGGGTGAGCAATTCCAATACATTTATGCAGTACATGGATTAAGGAAGGTAGAAAATCTTGTTTTTGATGCATAGATTGTCTTCCCCTCAGTTATGTTTTATGTTGTATGTACAATATACTACAATCACCCTACTCTTAGGGATTATATATACCATTTATAATATGAATCAACTATGGTTCCCTTTCTAGGATGGTTTTGGGTAAAAATCGTCTCTTTGATTTGATGTCAAGGGGACCTTAGATCTTATTAACTCGACAAGTGTTCATTGTGAATTAGTCTACGTAGAAGGAACTTACCATGTGTCGAATCTTTACACTAATAGGGATTTTTCCCCTCGAGAGCTGTTACATCTTCCTAGAAATGATATTCGGAAGGTTGAAACTTAGTGGGAGTGAGAAGATAAAACTCCACAGAGAAGTGTTTGATATGGACAATGTTGTAAAAATTGGCCTAGGCGCTTGGCGCTAGGCCCCCCTATGCCAAGGAGATTTCAATTCATATCTAAGCGGCTTTTAGTCGATCAGTTGACTAGGCACCCAACTCGATCAACTTGGTGCCAACTCGATTAAGTTGGCCGAATGTTTTTTTTTTTTTTTTTTTTTTTTTTAATTGTGAAATAGCTAGCGTCCTAAGTGCTGAGTTGGGCGCCTAACTCGGCCGAGTGATTTTTTTGTTTGCTCGGTTGTTCCTCTTCTATATTCCTTTAGCCATTAATTTACTCAATTAATCATCAAACATCGTATAAATACGGTTATCGCATCAAACAAATGAGAACATAGATTGGAAAGAGCTGTGACAAGGTATAAAGTTACTACCTTAGAAGCTTTTACATCGCCATCCGGTATAGAATTGATTAGGGCAACCCGAACAGGGGATCATTCCAAGCTTTTCAAATAGTAAAATCTAATGGTGATAGATTTTTAGTAATGGAAAGATCAAGCTTTTGAAGATGAGTTCCTCCTGCAAAACAAGAGATTTTGCAGTAAAAAATTGGGACCCTCTACTCCTAAGGAGATTTTGCACCATTCATGCCTCACACCTTACAGCAAAAGTGGGACCCTCTGTCACTACTTACAACTTTTTTTTTTTTTTTTTTTTTTTTTTTTTTTTTTTTTTTACTTTCATCTTCTCTTTCCTAATTACACTTACAAAAACTCATCAAAAATTACAACAAAATTCCCACTATTGAGGTTGCTCTTATCTTGAGCAATGCCCAAGATTTTAATACATACACCTGTATGAAAAAAGATGGAACATACAAATATACAATATTTTTTTTTTTAAAAAAGGAAATGATATGGCAGATAATATATATAGAGGTGTTGGCAGGGAGTAGATGTGTTTTTTCATCTTTATGTGTTTTTTCATGTTCTTGGCAACAGTAGAAGCCGGAGAAAAGGTTTGGTTTGTAGAGTTTAGGGAAAAAAGGTTTAATTAGACAATTGTTATATGGTGGATTATGGCCCACACAGCTTTCTGGATTATGGTTTAATACAGTACGGTTTCTTTTAATTAAAAGAAAAGATTGTTGTTATTGTGACCCAATGACGTAATACTTTACAGACTTACAGATGTCAAATGAACTTATAGTAGAATTAAAATGATATTTTAGTTTGCTATAATGAACTTATTGTGTGTATAAAATGAAACTAAATAGCAAAGCTTATACATATATGTATATTGTCATATGATCTTTAGTAAAATTAAAATGATACTTATAATATTTTTATAATTAAATTGATGCTTTAGTATTACTATAATGAACATGTATATTGTATGTATAAAATAAAATTGAATAACAGAGCTCTTACATATATGTATATTGTGAAATGAACTTATAGTGAAATTAAAATGATATGTTACTGTTGCAGTAATGAACCTATTGTGTATATAAATGAATCTGGATAGCAGAATCATACATATATGTATACTATCAAATGAATATGAAATGTGATTAAAATGATACGTCAACGTTACTATAATGAAACCAATGTATGTGTGTGGAAAACAAAAAAAAAAAAAAAAAAAAAAAAAAAAAAAAACAAAGATAACGGACTAGAAAAACGGTAATGAATTATCTTTTCTAAAATTAAAATCAAAAGACAGTTTTATTTCATAATCCACACTATTACATAGACCATGGTTCACAATAAAATTTGCCAAGTTTGGAATTATGGGTTTAGGAGATGGTTTTTAACTATTTATACAAAGAAAAAGTCTATAAAAATTTATAATATAAAAGAGTCTATAAAAATTTATAACTTTTTAAATACGAAATTAAAGAAGTTTTAGAAATTTTTTAAAAATATGAATCAAATTCTACCTAATTTAAAGACGTTAAAAATTTGAATCAAATAATGCCACTTGAATCAAATAATGCCACTTAAAAATTTGAATCAAATAATAACAGTTTGTATACGAAATTTAATTTTTAATGGTGATTATGCAAGAAACATTGATTAGGCTTGCTATTAGGTTCCTAGTTGTTGTTGAGGTGTTAGTTATATTTATTTAATTTTAAAATTATGGTTTACTTAGTTGAAAAGAACCTACACTAGATACATAAAGATTCATGCATGATTTTCTAAACATCGTATGATTATGACATATAACTAACAGATGAGATTATGATGAAATAATGAAAAGTTGTTATTATTAGTCTAGATTAAAATTTTAAAATAAACACTACACTTGCATGATTATTGGTGAATGTGTGCAACTTGTGATAAACATATATTGCTCATGTAATCCCTTGGAGGTGACTTGAAAGCGGTCATCCACGGTTTGAACAAGTTGAATGAATTGGCCTTTTTTTTGTTTTTGTTTTTTTCTTTTTTTTTGGCAATTGTATTTAATTTGTATCTCGTTGGATAAGATTAATTCATTTGAGTCAATGTTGTGACCATCGTGGATGTGTTGGATATAGTTTTCTGTTGGTCACAATGCGTGATAATATATGCTCTCAAAATTGCTTATATTATTATTATTATTATTATTATTATTATTATTATTATTATTATTATTATTATTATTATTATTATTATTATGTGTATATACTCTATATAACCTTATAATTATTATTTTCAATCATGAAACTAATAGAAAATTAATATCTTAAATAAGCATATTAGTTAAGAAAATCTAGTTACAAATATATCCTTATATTTTATACTTACACGTTTTAGGATCGGACAATTTGCACCTTATATTTTAAAAATTGTCATTTTCTTGTGTCGCATGTTTCCATTTTAGTTTCGTTTTCGTGCTACCTAAATGTAAATTGAGCGTGACCTAATTATTATGTATTATATTGTTTGTAATATTTGAATGATGGTTCGTTGCATGCACTTATTGGAAATGATGTAATTAACGAGCTAAGCGAATGATATAGCAGCAGCCAGAACGTTGCGGTCGGTCTTGCAGATTAAATTATTATAGGTGGAGTAAATTATGAAGTCACGAAGAACGATTGCGCATCAACACTAATTAAAATTATTTTTTCTATTGAATTGGTAAAATATTAATTATTTAATAATTGTTACAATAATGGCATTTAGTTTGTGACAAATTTGATTGAGAGCGTGTTGATAAGCAAGGCGGAGGCATGTTTATGCCTTAGGGGACCTTGCCCTCCTAACCCCTAAATTTTTTTAATATATATTATATTAAATTTTTTGTTATTAGTTCGTATGTTGTCACGAGTTTTTGTTTTGTTAATTAATCTGTAGGTCAAATTCTACAAATCCCAGAGTTGAAATCAAGTTAGTCCATGTAAATAAAGAACATAGTTGAATAGGTCCAAATCTATTCATCACTTTTTATTTTAATTTGGAAGCATGCATCATCACAAAAATTTAAATAAACACTAACAAAATATTTTATTTTATACTAAAAAATCATGAACTAATAACATTATCTCTTTAATTTAATGAAAAGAGACTTTTAACTATAGGAATTAAGTTCCATGGAATTTTAACTTTGCTGTGAGCAATGTGTATGGGTTGTGGATGGTCATAGGTTTGAACTCCGATGGTGGGGGCTTAGATTCTTTGAGCTGAAATTAATTAAAAAAGTATATATAGAACATATACTACCTTGCAAAGAATATTGAGTATTTAAAAAAAAAAAAATCTTCAAATCTTCAATAATTTTAATGAAAAGACGATAAAGAAAGGTTCCTTGTGAATTCTCAAGAGTGAATTATTATTATTACAGAATATTATTTAAAGAGATAAATGTGAAATAGATCTTCCCACTTTATAACAAATGTAATTAGATCTTCGAACTAAAAAAAAAAATTAATTAAACCTTTAAACTTGTAAATCAAGTAAGTTAATCCATGTAAATAAAGAATATACTTGACTACATCCAAATCTATTCATCACATTTAAAATTTATTTTGGAATGAATTGAACGATAGTTTGGTCTCGATCAACTAAATGTCTAAATTTGAAATCAAACTCTGATACTAAATTAAAGAAGATGTTTGCCAATTAGGTGGCCACAGGATCGAACCCTAGTGCTAGAGGCATATAGGCATTGATTTTTTGGGTTGACAGAGTTCGAGAAAGTATAAAATAGATATTACTTTATAAAAAATCATATGTATTTCTAAAAAAAAAAGTGTGCTCTATTTTAATTAAAATTAAAGGCTAAAGTAATAGTTAAATTGTATATTTATTATTTTACATATTATGATCAACAGAACATCTTTACAGTACAAATTAAAAATTTAGGTAAAGACCACTAATATAATCTTTTAAATAATACACAACTAATATAATTATGAATAATGAGGTAAACCTTAAACTTATGTTTTAGCTTACGTGGGTAGCTCAACTGGTCATAGAGGTGAAATTTTGGAATAATGATCAGGGATCGAGTCTCACCCGCGGCAGTGTAGGAGTAACCTCTTAAAGTGAGGGGGGCTCCTTGTGCGCAATGAGCACCGGTCTAGCTTTACTCCCAAAGTGAGGGGGGCTCCTTGTGCGCAATGAGCACCGGTCTAGCCTCTATGGTTCATGTTCAGTTGAGAGCACCGGTCTAGCCTCTATGGTTCATGTTCAGTTGAGTCACCATGATTTACATCCTCCCAAATGCTCTGTCGACATTAAATGACTATTTTGCCCTTATAAATAAATAATTTTAAAAGAATTACATTTTCCGGTCAAAATTGGCCGGCAGGACCAAATCTGTTAATAATTGCGTAGTTAAAGGTTTAAATTGAGAGTTTTGAAAGTCACGTACTCAAATTATCAGTACCCTAATAGTCACAGGACCAAAAGTACAATTTGTTCTATATTATACTTTAATTCACCAAAATTGATCCATAATTTTAAAAGCACTTTAAAAAGTTTTAAAAAATTAAAGAGCCAATAATTATTTGGTTCTCATGAAGGTGCTCGAGTTGCATGAGCGGTTGATACATTACCAAAAAAAAAAAAAATTGTATAATATTCATATCAAAATATCAAATAAATAAAGTAACGAAATTATGGGTTAAAATTGCTTCCGTCATTCTTCAATTACGTTGTCAGCAAAGTAGCAACCAACATGCATGGACGACTTACCCTTTCCCACAATCTTTATAGGAGGGCTGCTGTGTATATCGTGATTTGCATGGCCCGATTGGGACCGTGTAAGATGGACAACAGCACATAGGTCTCAATTTTTAAAAGAGATTAATATTTATTTTTGATATAGCTACTTAAAAATAAAAAAGGAAATTTATTTACACTTTTGGTAATGTCTCATTTATTTATAAAAACGGGACTACCAAAATCCAAAAACCGACCTGGCCGGGCTGATTTGGCATTATTATTATTATTATTATTATTATTATTATTATTATTATTATTATTATTTGATCTTACATTACCAACTTTTAAAACACTTGGTTAAATTTTCACAAATTACATTAAATCTTTTATATAACTGGACTATATGAAATTTCGTAATAAGTTTTATTTCTCATATATTTCCACATTGACTTACTAGATATTAAAACCTCCCTACCCACCCCTTCCAACCCCACCCCCACCCCCACCCTCTTTCTACATATATATATATTTCAAGCCTGGTTTCTCTGAAGTAAAACAATCAAAAATTTTCTTCTCTTTTTCTGTAAAGGCAATATATGATATGATGAAGAATCAAAACCATAATAATAATCCTCCATTATTAACCTCAATTAAGTTGTATAATGCGCCCTTAAACCTCATCAATCTCCTCTCTGCGTTCTTGTTCTTCGCCTGCGGCCTCACCTGCGGCCTCATCTTCTCCTCCTACTTCAAATCCTTCTCGCTAAACCTCCAGCTCATCACCGCCGCCGCCGCCGACCAACCACTCCTCCTCCCGCCGCCGCAGCCGGAGAGAACCCCCGTCGCCGCCGTCGGGCTCCAAGAATTCCTGAAGCCGCCGGAAAACGCTATGCACGACATGAGCGACGAAGAGCTTCTGTGGAGGGCGTCAATGGTTCCTAAGATCAAAGAATATCCATTCTCGAGAGTCCCTAAAGTGGCGTTCATGTTCCTGACGAGAGGGGCGGTGACTTTAGCGCCGCTGTGGGAGATGTTCTTCCAGGGGAACGAAGGGTTCTACTCAATCTACGTTCATTCTGATCCGTCGTGTAATGAATCGGCGCCGGAGGGGTCGGTGTTTCACGGCAGAAGAATTCCCAGTCAGGTCAGTCATATTTATTCTTCATTTATTTTTCGTAGCCTTTGTTTGGTACGCAACTACGCATGCTGACAATAAAATCAACTTTGGAGTTTGGACCACCAATAATTTGTTTTTATATGATTTATTATCAAATATGAAATATTAGAATGATATTTTTTGATTCACTCTTTTATGTTAATCATTAATTAGGAACAATCTTAGTAAAGTTATAGCTAGTTGCATGTTTATTGCAAATTAAAATGGTACAAAATGCATTAGAAATTAAGTGATTTCATCCCACGACTCTCCCTTTTTTTTTTTTTTTTTTGATAATTCTAATAAAGTATATTACATAACTTCATACAAGTGACAAATATATAGTAAGACTTGTGCCGCATTAATAATTGGGGGTGAAACGATTCAAGTAGTTATGAGCTATTCAGTTAAAATTTGATTTGAGTTATGTCAAATTCAAGCTCGAGCTGGCTTGATAAGTAATAATTGAGCTGTGTTTGAATTTAAATTTTTTTGACTGGTTTATTAAGTTGCGCGCGAGCTATATATATATATATATATATATATATATATATATATATATATATATATATATATATATATATAGTTCGAAATTGAGTTCAAATTGAGCCAATTCAATCATGTTAGTCTTATAAAAATTAGCATGTTAAATTTGTGACTTAAACTCAATCAAGTTCAAGCTCAGCTCTATTGTTTTCACCTTAAGCGGGCAATATATACATAGATTCCCCTTTATTAAAAAAAAAAATCAAGAAAAAAAATCCCCTAAAAAGAATGAAAACTTTTGTTGTAAATGTTCAGCAAAGTATGCATTGATAGGAAGAAAAGCATTGAGTAGAGGTGAAGGCATAGTAATCCAGAAATTTGAAAGAGCATAAACGCCTGGAGATGCGCACAGGTGCTTTGCATAATCATCAAGTCATGAAATTGTGTTTTCATTTACCAAAAAAAGTATATTTTTTATACCAATTTTTCTTTAAAGATTATATAATCATCATACGTTATAGCATTCCCTATTTCATCTGCAATGCACAAAATAATCAGCTGGATTTGATAAAAATGAATTTGTAGTCATGAATAAATGAAGATGGTTGTGCTCTTAGGGCACACGCATGCATGTGTACTTTGATAAGGTCAGGGTACTGATAAGATTCTACATTAATTTTATAAGAGATTGTTGAATAATATTAAGTTGTGGTTAAATTTTCACTCATAAATTAATTTTTATGGTAGAGTTAAGTCTGACTTGAATGTCATATCAGACCCACCGCTCATGGCCTCATTAATATTATTACTTATGTCGAAAGAAAATATAAGGTCTACCCTACTAAGTAATTGGAAGAATAGCATTTACAATCTTTTAGTTTTGACGAAATAATTATTTTCATTTTCATTTGTTTGGAATATGCAAATTTAGTTAATTACTATTTTATTAATTAAAACTTAGAGAAGATAATCCAGTACTTCATTTAAAAAAAGAAAAAAGAAATCGTAGTAGACTTGATTTTACGGTTAAACGTCTCAGACCATTTCCATTTAAACTAATGATTTTTGGTGGATAATAGAGTAATGATAATGAAATAATTAAGAATTTGAAGAAAGTAAACCATATTAACACGCATGTATATATTGTATGTATAGTAGTAGACGACAGAAAACGTTAGTGAAAAGGAGTGGCAACGACTAATCAATAGTTGACCACTGGCTTAGATTGCTTGTTGAGTTGCATGCGGAAAGAGCGATATTTGCAAGCTACGTTAATTTTAACGAAACAACCATGCTCATTAACGAGCCGCCCAATGCGTGTCGGTTTGATTTTTCCTTAAATTCTCTCTCTCTCTCTCTCTCTCTCTCTTTTAAACAAAATAAATAATTGTTTTTAAACATTCATAGTTATAAATATTGTTAAAATGTATGTATTTATCATTTTTATAAATACTCATGATTTTTTTTATAAAATAATATCTGTTTTATATTTTCTCAAACGTTTTTAGTCCAAAGAATCTAAACCCTCGTCATCAGAGTTTTAATCTAGTCTATAATCACTTATTTAGAATCGTAACTGGAATACTGTCACATTACTTATTATTTATTATATTTAAAATCTCTTTATTTTAAAGTATTGTATACTTTCAAGAATTGAACTTTTCAATTCATCCTTAATTGACATTTCAAATGGTGGGCTCTACGTGTCTTAACAGAGAACCATCATAGTTTTTAACAAAAATACTGGCAAAGAAAGGATTTTTTTTTAAAAAAAAAAATTTGTATGCAAAACAAATGAAAAGATGTATTTAGTACCAACTAAAAATTCAAATATTTGTTATTTTATATAATATATTTAACAAAAACACAATTAAAAATTATAATATGACAAAAATTATATACTGATGAATAATAGTATGAATATCAATTGCTATAAATGGTGGGTAGAGTAAATACAACATTTGTTTTCCCCTTTTTGAGCATATAGTATGGTGGGTAGGAAATTCTTGTTATGTACTATTATCATTATTTTAAAGTATTTTTCCATTTTTTTTTATCTATGATTTTGCAGGAAGTCAAATGGGGAGATGTTAATATGATTGAAGCGGAACGTAGATTACTTGCCAACGCTCTTTTAGATTTTTCAAATCAACGTTTCGTTCTTCTTTCAGAATCTTGTATTCCTCTGTTCAATTTCCCTACAATCTACTCTTACCTAATGAACTCCACCACAAATTTCATTGAGGTATACGATCTTCCAGGCTCGACTGGCCGTGGGCGTTACAAGCACAGAATGAGCCCAGTTATCAAGCTTCGACAATGGCGAAAAGGGTCCCAGTGGTTTGAAATGGACCGGGACCTAGCCATCGAGGTCATTTCGGATGACAGATATTTTTCACTTTTTCAATATTATTGTAAAGGGTCTTGTTATGCTGATGAGCACTACTTGCCAACGTTTGTGAACATTAGATTTGGGCGAGGGAACTCAAACCGAAGTTTGACTTGGGTTGACTGGTCTCACGGTGGGTCCCACCCAGCTCGTTATTTAAGGCATGATGTGACTGTGTCGTTTTTGGAGACGTTAAGGACCGGTGATAAGTGCGAATACAACGGGGAGGAAACTAATGTGTGTTACTTATTTGCTAGAAAGTTTAGTCTGCATTCTTTAACTAGATTGCTGAGATTTGCTCCTAAACTTATGAGGTTCGATGAAAAGCTGAAAATGAATTCATAATTTAATTTGTACAGATCAAATTTGTCTTTTAAGACACTCATAGGCCGGACTCGTACATTCATATATCATACCATGTCATGGATACCTTTGTATCATTTAATTATTTTGTTACTTTGAAACAGAAAATATTATTTTGTACATCTATCCTACTGTAAAGAGAATACTTACAGAATTGCAATAATTAACTTTGAATCAAACAATTCAACTAATGAATTGAATATTATTTGTGATATATTATTGATCATGCCGATCAAATAGTTTGGTAAAAAAAAATTATGATACAGGGGCAACACATCAACCAAGTTGGTTGGACAGTTGACTTGTAATCACAAGATTATAAGTTTGATTATCAATTAGTCTTTTTGGCATAATTGTAATTTTGTATTTGATTCTGTGGCTAATTATAAGACCATTATTTCAAACAAGTGGCAAATAAATCTATAAATCCAACGAATAATAAAATTCAGTCCCATAATTTTTTGGATTTATAAAAGTCTTGAATGGTGAAATCCTTGCTAAGTTTGTCATGGTTTGTTGGGGACTATGGTGTAAGTAGGAATGAGTATGTATGGAAAGGAATATAATTGCTTTTGATGCTCATGTGATGTTGCGGCGTGCCATAATTTTTTGGCAAAATTGGAAACGTGAAATTGAACACGGATGCTTCGCTAGACATACCAAATAATTCTATGAGTTTAGGTTGGGTACTTCGTGATCATGAAGGTGTGCTTTTGGCAGCAAAAAATGTGCGTATAAACGATATTTTCAGTGTTAATGAAGTCGAGGCTATCAATTTGAGAGAGGCTCTAAGCTAGCTGAAAGATACGGGTATGGGTTGTGTTGATCATGTGAAAATGGACTCACGAAACTGTTTTTTACTCCCTTTCTTATTCGTCTTTTAACTCTACTTTCGGTCTTTTAGTTGATGATGTTAAAGAATTGGCATCAATGATTGATGAAGTACAATTCCGTTTTGTGAAGTGATCTGCGTATTGCAACGCCCACACTGTTGCTAGGGAGGTCTTTTCAGAGTCAGGTTGTGGAGAGTGGTTTGATGCCCCTCCTACTTTTCTTATAAACTGTCTTATTCGTGATTTAATGTATTAAGCTTTTATCTTCAAAATAAAAAATAAAAAAAAATTCAGCCCTAACTTAAAAGCAAATTCATTGGAACCCCTTAAATTAATCTTAAAAAATAAAATTGAATTCAAATACGGAGTACTATCTATTTAGCATGTTAGGGCATCTTCAATAGTGGGAATTTTGGTGTGATTTTTGAGCAGTTTTTGTAAGTGTGATTAAGAAAGAGAAAATAAGAGGAAATAAAAATAGGGAAAAAAAAGCAAATAAAACTGAATTAGGAAAAAAAAAAAAAAGAAGATAATTAACGCGCCCAGCTGGCGCGTGCACTGGGCGCGAATTATTCTTCACGCACATGGCGTGCGGCTCTTCCTTTACATAGCTGGACCCCACAAACTGACAAAATCCCCAAATTAGAAGAAAGACCTCTAACATTCTCTCAAATGCTTCTCTCTCATCCAAGGTGGCAATTTCTCTTTAAAAACATGAACAATCTCCTATTGGGGTTACTCTTATAGTTGATGTGGGTTACGTGTCATCCATCTTAATTCATTTTAGAGTTATACTATATACTCCAAAATCATACTCCTTAAATTTTACTTCCTGATATAGCGGGCACGGATAGGCTACTTTTTTTCATGTGAATCTTTTTTTTTTTTTTTTTTTTTTTTGAAAGCCACCATAGAAGGTGATTATATTAGAGATAAACTGCAACAAAATCCGGAGGGATAGAATCCCAGTACATTGCATGAGTCTGAGTAAAAGCATGTGATGCTAAAGAATGCGCCACAAGATTATCTAGTCTAGGAACAAAAATAACTGAGCATAAATTAAAAGTTGACAAAATAGTCCTGCATCCATCATGAATTTAAATACAAGTGCCTACATCAAAATTTTATGTGTTGAATAAAAATTAGGAGTAAACAATGGAAATACATATAATATTTTTCTTCTTTTTCCTGGATCTCAAGTGTACAACTTAAATTATTATTTTTTAATTAAAAGATAATCGCCGGTTGTTTCCTACACTAGACAACCGTGCTTGTTCAAAAATATATAAATCGAATGAACATTGCAATGATTTATCTTTTTTTAAAAATTGAATTTTTTATATAGACAACTATGGTTGTCTAACATAGAGGTCCAAACTTGGACGTCTAACAGTAAAATAAAATTTAAAAATAAAAATGGAGATGTTTAAATCTAGACTTTTGAAATTTAGAGGCATAGATATGTTGGAAAATTAGTATTTTAAAAAAAAGAGTGAATATAATGTTTGAATAAGAACTCATTGAAACACTTTTGGTAGAACCTTATCTATGCTTCTAGGCACGTAACAATTATGTATAATTGTAACTACGTGCATGGATATAAATTTGGAAGAACAAATTTTTATATTTATATGAGACTTTTAATCTGACTCTAAATAAGATAAATACGTTATTATTAAAATTTGATAGAATCGTAATTATTTGAGAAAAAAAATTGATATCATTGAACGTGATTTTCATTGACTCAAATTTTTCTAAATCAAAGATCGCATTAAACGTGACACTAATTTTTCTAAATCTTTTTAATTATGAAAAAAGTTCAAACTCCAGTGGCTACCAAAAACTCTCTTAATGTCTACTTTTCAATGGTGAACTCGAAGAGAACTTCTAAAGAGCTTAAATATAATCCAAACCGGATCGTTATGCTGTGCATCCGTATGCACCATGCATGGTGCATACGGATGCAAAAACGACGTTGTTTTAATAAAAACGCGCATCCCACTTTAAAAAAAAAAAATTCAATTTTGATTCTCCTCAACAGCATTATGTTGTTCATTCATTCTGAAATTTTAGTTCATAGATTCTGGAATTTTAGTTCATTGATTATGGATATTTAGACGTGAATCGAAACTGATTTTTTTCATTCATGCTGGATATTTAGTCCATTTATTATGGATATTTAGTTCATTCATTATGAATTTTTAGTTCATTCATTCTGGAATTTTAGTTCATAGATTCTGGAATTTTAGTTCATTGATTCTGGATATATAGTTCAAATTATGCACAATATAATGTTGTTGCTGGGAATTGAAACTGATTTATTTTTTTTTAAGTGAGATGCACATTTTTAATAAAACGACGTCGTTTTTGCATCCGTATGCGAATGCATAGCATAATTTGCCATCCAAACCTCTTTGGGCTATTAATCTTCTCAAATGGTACACAACGCACTCTCACAGTCTCACTTGGGCCGACCAAACAATCAATTTAATTAATAAACCCAATATATTATTTGAGCAAGCTAGCCCCAATTAATTGAACTATCTCAAAAATCAATATCAAAATGAGGTCCAGTAACAATCCTATCAGTCTATTTATCACATTAAAAATTTTAAAGGTGTGTTTGGTTCATGGGTTTATAGTTTACACATCGGGAATGAGAATGAAAATTATAGTTATTATTTGGTTGACAATTTTTAAAAACACAATTATAGGATTTAATTAATCCTTCAATTAAAAATCATATTTCCTAATTAAAAACGGGTATCATTCCATCTTTTCACACTCATCTTCTGTCACCTTCTAATCTGTCGCCTCCTTACTATATCCCTCAGATTTTTGTTTTAATTTTTTGTTCATTTTGGTGCTTTGGATGTCATTATATTATGATCAATAATTGTTTTGAATTTTTGATTTATTTTTATTTTTAAAACTTGTATTCCAAGTATAAGGTCATACATAACCAAACATCAATATTAGTAATCATTCCAATTCCACCATACTACCAAACATGCAAAATACTTTTACCAATATTTGATTCTCATTCCAGTTCCGATTTTCATGTGCGAACCAAACACAGCCTATTATTATTGAAAGTGAGTTGAAATTGTAAGGATGCAAAAAAAATAGTGAGTGGACCCGTAGGGCTAGCCTAATTAGTTTGACAGATCACTCTAAAGCTTTCCTCCAACACTGCCCGCACTCTTGCGTAAGCTGAAAAATCTAATGTATACAAAATAGTGCGTGAATTGTAAATATAATGATAGGTTAGTAGATCCACTTTTAAAGTGAGAGTATTGCAAAGATAAACAAAGCTTAATTTCATGCATGCATGCACGCACCTTGCCGTTTTGATCCACGAACTCGATCATATACACCAGATATTGTTTGCATTTATATTAAGATTTACTTAATAAGTTAATATGAAAATTTTCGGAAATATGACTTTGTATATGTTGTAATGGTTTAGAAAAACTCTACCCATATATAGACTTAGTAGTAGAAATTACGATTAATACTTCTATTGAAATAATAAAACTTACCTGTTACGATATATTTCTTACTAGAAATACATTCACAATTGCTATAACTGGCTAATCTTTACCTTATCTTTTTCCATTCTCTCTCATTTTCTAAGTGTCTAACACATGCATGCATGACAATGGAAGGTGAAGTGTTTCCTAAATTTTGAGATAAACAACCTTATCTTTGAAATCTTATGGATATTTATGTGAATCCAAAATTTTCTCAAAGGCTTATATATATTCTTCTAATAAAGGCTGAACTCCAACTCTAAGGGCCAAAGGCTTATGTATATGATTTGACTACCTATTGTAGAATTTCCTAATAAATCTGATTTCATATTCACTTATCTATAAGGATGGGATTAGCAACGTTCTAACCCCCCCCCCCCCCCCCCCCATTTTAGATCAAATGCAAATTCTTCTGCAGGTATATAGTCCAAATCAACAACCTAGATGGTACTGGTAGATTAATTATAAAAATGCATGGCGGTGACAATATTGTAATTTTGAGTAAGTCAGATTGTCTTTGTATCTGAGTGTACATTTTTCTTCTTCGAGTGCACATGTTTCCTTCTTCAAGTTCATATTTCTCTTCAATTCTTCAAGTGCATCTGTTTTGTTTCAGTACATAGTTTC